CAGCCCCAGAACCACATGGCTCTGGGGCTGCTTGCCATGTCCCAGGAAGCCACAACTGCTCCAGCCCACCGTGCAGTTCTGGGGCTGCTTGCCATGTCCCAGGAAGCCACAACTGCTCCAGCCCACCGTGCAGTTCTGGGGCTGCTTGCCATCCCGCAAGGCAGGATGCAGGGCAGCCAAAAGAGCAGAAATTAGGGGGGGGGGCAAGATAGATGGGTAGGGGGAGTTGAAGCACCCCTGCAGTCGTATGTGCGGGCAGGCTGCCAAGTGCCCAAATTTTGATCATGTGACTGCGAGTGCACTGCAACAGCCATAACTTTGGGGACCAGTTGTAAATCCAGTTTTTCAGCACTGTCATAACTTTGAATAGTTGCTGAACGAATGGTCATAAGTCGAGGACTACCTGTACAGTACTATATATCTCCTATTCAAATTAGGAGGAATAGAAAGGACCTCTCTTTCTGAAACTCAGAAAGCAAGCACTCTGTCTCTACTAGTACTGGGCTGTATGAATCATTGATCTGACTTTTAATAAAGTAATATTGACATTTCAATTCAAGTCTTTTTCCTTCTCTAGAAGCCTTGGACTTGGCTGAGACCAAAAAAGCAAGTGTTAACCATTAAGAAGATTCACACCTCTCAGAAGACTGAAACAGATGGATAGAGAAAATTATAAGTAATGACCTGTATGTAATTCGGTCTTCTTGCCCAGGCTCATCTTTCTCCCAGATCAAGGCTACTTTATTTGGATTTTTGTGGACATGTCGATCCAGACAGTTAACTGAAAGAAAATACAATTCTCATTGTTACACACTCAGCCATCTGCAGCAGCTGTTACTATAACCATCATAAAATTAATGCTGATGGCTATGCCAGGTTTCTCCAATCAAATGTTCTATGCTAAGAATCCAGCACTAGCAATACGTGCAAAATTAACAATTGGTACATGAATTGTACAACCTAAAATCAAACTCTGCAAGTTGCCCTGTCCAAGGTCATCTATGTAGGTCATGCCAACTATAAAACCTACTATTGATTTTCACAACTCAAGAGTTCTAGAATCTAAAGTTAATCATTTGCACAGCCTCAAACAAATCTTAGTAAATTAACTGCATAGCCCATAAATACATTTCAGAATTTAAATTATACATTTAACTTTTTCTTGAAATAACTAGGTCTTGATTAACTGCATTATTTTAATTTTACCTGTGTTTTTAATCTTGTTTATATAACCCACTCAGAGCACACTTGTTACTAGTAGGATTAAGAAACAAAATAAATTCTGTTACACAGATGCATTCTACTTCTAAGCAGTGAACATTTTCAGGGCTTCTAACACTTAACTCCTTATTTAAATAATGATTTCATTCATTACAGAAAATGTACAATGCCTCTGTAACACAAGTTTTAGAAAGTGCAGCTGTAAATCTAGTTTTGCACACAGAGGGTCATGTGAGTGAAGGAACCAAACTCTCCATTAAGTTTACTTGGATTTTGCATTCCAATGCTTCAGGCAGGTCTTCTTGTTTTTTTTCTTCCCAGGACGAGTCATTTCAGCTACTGGAACTGGACCAGGAGAAAAATGCCAGCTCAACTCTGTTAATTCACACAGTACCCTATCTCACTTGCTTCTGGCTTTACATCTGAATGAGGCAAGTCAAAATGGCCACCTCTGACAAATTTATTTTGACCCTTACAATAACAGTGAATGTACATTTTTACTGCAGTGTTTATTTTTTCTCCATTCATTGCGTCACTGACACTAACTGAACAGTCATTCCAGTCTGCAATTCCCATCATTTGGGAGCACCTGATTTGGGGCTTGTCAATCACATGTTATGTTTAGTGTGTTTATTTAGTAGACCATAGTTAAGTAAACCATAGTTTATTGCAATGTGTAAAGTCAGCCATTGACCCAAAGCTAAATCACATTGTGATTTAATATGCTGTGTGAACCCAGCCACTAGGTGCAGGAGTGAGGTAGACAAAATACAGGTAGTCCTCGCTTAATGACCATTTGTTTAGCGACTGTTCAAAGTTTAAAGTTACAACGGCACTGAACGAAGGGACTTTTGACATGTACCCAAAGTTATGGCAATCTGGGCCCTTGGCAATTGGTTCGCCCTTACGACTGGTTGCCAAGCACCTCGTGATCATGTGATCGCCATTTGCAATCTTCCCTGCCAGCTTTTCCAGAAAGTCAATGGGGAAGCCGGCAGGGAAGGTCACAAGCCACTGCCGCCTGCTGAGAGGACTCCCTCTCATCTCTGGGGGGTGGCTAAAAAAGCTCCATGCCGAAGTCCAAGCAGGATTTCAGCATGAAGCTTTTTCAGCCAGCCCCAAAGCTCCTTGTGTTAAATGCCCGCGCATAGGCCATTTAGTGCTCCAAACTTGGTGGCTGCCTGAAACAGCTTCGTACTGAAATCCAAGCAGGATTTTCAGCCCCAGAGTGGAGAGGCTTGGCTGAAAATCCAAGCAGTTTTGAGGCCTTTGCACATACCACATCCCCACTCAATTGTCGAAAGCCAGCAGGAAATTGCCTCATCTAATGACTGGGGCATTCACTTAACAATGGCAACTGGCACTGCGGTCACTAAGCGATGCAGTCAGGTGATGTTTCACCTAATGACCACATCACTTAGCAACAGAGGTTCCTGTCCCAACTGTAGTCATTAGGCGAGGACTACCCATATGCCCTGTTTTTAAAAATTACAGACCTAGAAGGAATGGTAGAATCATAGTTGAATGCACCTGATATAGAAAATCCATTTCTATTGCCTCATTGCTGGCAGGTGGATGCTGAAAGTCCTGGAGAACAAGTACCTGACAGCCAGAGGATAGCAGCAAATATTGTTCTTAATCTTCAGAAAGGAGGGAAAAGAGGATCCAGACAGTAACAGACCAGTAAGTCTCCTATTGATACAGCTATCTGTTGTGGATGTTTTAATTTGGATCCCTGAAGGGAGAACAGGTGTTGCTGAACAGCCTCTTCTGCTCTATGATTCTAAGAAAACTGCTGTAGCTTAGAATATTTTTATATAGAAGAGTTATATTTAGCATGTGTGTGTGCGCTGTTTCGTTTTTGTAATGTTAGGATTATGCCACATATATTAAGATGATATATTTTAAAAATATGTGCAGGAACCCTGATTATGATGGTTCATAGGAGAAAGAACTTAGTAGTTTCTGTAAGCATCACCATGTTTTGTCCAAGAAACATTAGTTCAATTGAAATGTGGCTTATTATTACACAATTTTTACTTATTTATTAATATTTCTATGCCATTCCATTTCTTCGGGTTCTGAGCAGGGTACAATCATCAGAAAAGAGATTAAAGCTGCCAAAAACCTATCTGATAGGCTAGATGAAAAACGTATACAGTAAATATATACAATAGATGATTGAAAAGACTTGAGCTGTATGCTGTAAGCAATTTACTTATGCTGGAATCTAAGGAACCCTGCTTTTTCACACACACATTTTGTATTCTGTGATCTGCGCATTTTTGCATTGTATTGCCATCAACTATCTGATTATATTACAGATCTTTTAGTTATTTTAAACCTGCCCAAAACAGAAACTACATTTTAAAAAGTATAAAAGCTTGAGCCACTTTTTTAACAAACCAGTAAAATGCAAAAATAGATAAGTGCTTCTAAAAGATATTTTGCAGACCACATTCATCCCAAGGTCAGTTAGATCAATGTTTTCTTGAATCCAGCGCAAGAATAAATGACATTTTACGGCTTATTCTGCTTTTCCGTATTTCATGTTCCTTTTTTGTCTGACTTTTTTCCAAAGGTAGAAAAACAGGGACAGTTCACATCATTTTAATCCTTCCAGTAAGTAGGCTACAGTAGTCTGAAAAACAAAGAGCTTCATAGGTAGGAAGAGTTTTAGATCCACACTACAGTACACTAGTCATGCAATACTCACTGTTCTCCATCCCCTCCAATATTTTGCTACTTTCTTAAACTACATTCAGAGTTTGTTTAGGAAGGATCAAGTGCATTAATTCTCATGGTATTCAAAAACAGGGGAAAATGAGTGGAATGCTGACTCTGGCAAAATTTAAAAACAGAATTTTAATAGACCCAGTATTGAAATATCCCGGACTGCAATGTTTTCTTTTTCCTTCACAAGCAGAGAGAGACAAAGAACAGCTGAATTTCTACTTACCGGCTACGTTAAGCTGTCCTCCGAGGAACCAGGACACGTGGCCCTGCTGAAAGTTACAGTCACTAACAGAATGAAAAGGATTGCTCCATATAAGCCGGTTTCTCGCTAGCGCTCCCCAGAATACATCTGCTTGCTCCACTGATAGCTGGTATAGTTCTTGGTGATTCCTTGGTCCAGGAAAAGCTGTGGCTTCTGGCATGTATGCAGTCAAGGGACTCCTGCTCCATGCTCTTCTTTGATAAGAACATTTCTTTCCAAAGGCAATTTTGGAGAAGCAAGTTCTAACCAGCAACCAGGCCATGATTCTAGGGTGTAAGAGTATCCTTTATTTTTACCCAGAGAAAATCTTCAAGCATAAATTCTTACTGGCAAAAGTAAAAAAATAAAAATATTTGTCCCTGCCACTAGGAAATGTGGTCCCACTAGGTTTCCCAGAACCAGATGGTAAATCCACATTTAAACTGAGAATTCAAGAATGTCATACTCTCTTCCAGAAACATACACGTATACTACTCTTCTAGAGAAACATAAGCAAAGGAAATCCAATCCCTTTTCAGGGAGGAGTAGGAGGTGGGATTTAGTACTGCCTAACTAGAATAACCTTCAGGCTAATCTGAATATGCTCCTGTCTGAATCCAGCTGTGGCTGGTACTCACATGCACGGTCACATTTTATTCAAATTGGACCACGCTGGCTCAGATCCTTTCTGTACATTCTTGTCTATATAGAGGCTCAGTCTTACTTCTGTCATCTGCAAGCAACTGAGGCTCCCAGGCACGTGAAAAAAATAATCTATTCATAAAAGATGACAGGCGCTGGTGTGTGGAATGTATAGATAGCAACAGGCCAATTTATGATAAAAAGGAGACTTTGGTTTTATTACCTTCATTATGTTCAAGCATGTTCTTTTCCACAACAATCGACTCAGTTATTATACACAGAATTTGCCAGGAGTTATAGCTCCTTGTTTCAAAGTGTTTTACACTGGGAAATTCCGGGGTTACTTAGAAGAGAGGCAATTTTAAACTTATGAGATCAGTGAAAGCAGCCAAGTTTTCCTGAAAGACAATTGCCTTTTATCACTGAAAATGCTCTGCCATATATCAGGGGTTCTTTTTTAAGATACATAATATCTGGAGTAAGTGGTGCAAGGATGACACTTCAACAGGTCTTACTGGTAGTCCACATTGATGTAGGTTATGTCTCAGAATCCCTTGATGGATAAATTCACGTGGAAGCGTTCTCTGCTATAGCTGTAAAACTGATGAGCATTTTTGCAACAGGTCTCTCTCTTTCATCCAGTACAGTATACTTTTACTTTCTCTGTGTCATAAGCTGAACATTTTATGTTGTTCCATAGCACACAATCGGATCCAAGTCTGCTCCTTTTGTTTTGAATGGCAGTCTTGATAAACTGACAAACTGTGAAAGAAGGAGGAGATAAAGTGTCATAGACACAGAGAACTCCTAAGACTTCTTTACAGATGTCACTTCTCAGACTGGCTCTGTGCTTCTGCAGTCCTATGTTATAGTCTCTGTCGGACAGCTGAACCCATTTATTTGCACTTCAGGTGCTGTTCAATAAGAAACAAACTCTGCATTTAGAGTTTAAAGGGTGGATTTTTGTGAAGTTTAGGGATGGGCTGAAATCAATCCCTCTCTCAGTAAGATACTAAAGCACTGAATGCCAGGCTAACTAACATAGCTGATTTTAATTGATCAAGAAGAGACTTATTGGTTCAACAACCCTCTTCATAGTATGTATGAATGCTACATACATACACAAGTTTTTGTTTTTCAGGATAAGTAACATGATGAACAGTGCAGAAAAGGAATATGAAATAGTAAGCACAAGAATAAAAAAGATAAAACATAGCCAACATTAGTTTGGACCAGCACCATTTATTATACCTGTGCATACCTTTCTATTCTTGCAAACCATCCTTACTTCCCAATGTCCATACAACAATTCATGCATTTCCATTTGTTCCTTAAGCATCTCACCATTTTTAGGATCTCATCAGCTCCATCCAACCATCAATTTCTCAGTCTTCCATTTTCTCTTGACCAGTTCACTCTTCATTCACATATTTATTTTGCAGTTCAGTCCTCATACATTCTTTTTATATGACTAAACCATTCTAATATATAAAATACACTCACTTGCATATTCAATGCATAACTCTTTTACATAACCATTTTTGCTTCTTTCAAACACATTCATTCTTCAGAACAGAGAAAAGCTACCCACTATCTTTCTAACAGCATTTGCACATCTTTGACTTTGGCCCAGTCATTCTCTCTTAGCCCTAGGAAGGAGGCAATGGCAAATCACTTCTGAAATCTTGCCAAGGAAACTGCAGGGACTTGTCCAAGCAGTTACCAGGACTTGAAGGCACCTTATCTATCTATCTACAGTATCTATCTATCTATCTATCTATCTATCTATCTATCTATCTAT